AGGCAAGGGCACTCGCTCTTCCCCTCGGAGCGCCTCCGACCCCCAGCAAGGGCCGTTTTCCTCAGCGCTGGCCGCCCGGCGGGGCTGCTCACGCCGCAGTGCACGAGGCGCGGGCCGCCCTTGCAGCCCGCCCTCCCGCCAGCCCGCGGGCCTCCTCTCCTCCCTTCCCCGCCGCGTTCCGAGCCTGCCTGCTAGCCTTGGAAAGCAGTGCCGGAGCAGTTGTTATGGCAACACGGGGCTGGGGCGCTCGCCGCCAACCCCAAACACGCAATTAGCTGATTAGGAGGCAGGCGCGAGGCCGCGGCGGCGCCGCGGGGCCCTGCCGCCCTGCCCAGCCCGCAGCAGCCCCTGCTCCGCCACCCCGACATGTGGGGCTCGGTGGGGCAGGGGGGCTGGAGAGGGGAAGGCCAGTTGGAGGGAGGAGGATCCATGAGGGAACCCAGTTTCTGGCTTTATTGGCTTTATTGACACCCTGTCTCGTTGTATCCTGGTGCCTCCTGCTCCGTTCCTCTCCATCCCAGCATCCCACAAGGCCGTGTCTGGAATCTGGCGTGTGAATGGCAGGGAGCAAGGCTGCTCCTTGAGAGGTCTTGGTCGCTTGGTCCTCCGGAAAGACCCATGCATCCCGCTCCTTCCTCAACACGCAACTCAAGCGGCTCCGCTCGCCTCCTTCGAGCCCGCTCGTGTCTGGAGACAAGCGCTTGCCGAGGGGAGAGGCTGACGGAGGCCAGAGGCTTCTGCCCCAGCCCCGCTCCCTCCTTCCCCTCCCTCACCCCACTGCGGTGTCTGAGAGCTCCACATGCCCCATGCAATTGTGCCAGGCCACTGCTAAATGCCCATGGATGGGTATCCAAATAGGAGAGCATGGGAGCTTCCATCAGCCGGCACTCGCATGCGCATCACACTGTGTCCTCAGCAGGATGAGGCTCATGCCCTGGGCCTGGGTGCTACGGCAGGACCCCGTGGTCCTGCCCCAGCTCCAAGCTCCTCACGCTCCCTTGTCCCTGGCCTGTGCAATGGGCCCCACGGGTGTGTGGGGCAGGCAGGGGTGTGTGGGGCAGGTGCTGTCCCCTCCACGCGGCTCCTCTCCCTGCAGCCCCTATCACTCCCGACCGGCTCAGCAAGGCAGCAATCAGCCCCGTGACAGCCCTGCTTAATGAAGTCAGCCTTCGTTAGGCACCTCCGTTCCACTTGAGCAGCTCCTCCGGAGGCTGCCTGCGGCGGGGACAGCCCCACGGGGAGGGCCTGGGGACGGTGACACTGCTGGGGACGGTGACACTGCTGGGGACAATGACGCTGCCGCAGACGGTGGCTGCAGTCGCCTGACCCCCTGCCCTGCCCGTCTGCGGCTGAGCGTGTCCCCTGCGAGGGTGTCACGGGGCTGGGGCCGCAGATGCAAATCCCTATCCCGAACCCACTCAGTGCCAGCACAGGGGACACAGTGAGGCTGCTCCTACCCTCCCAGTCACCCGCAGGGGACAGTCGTGTCCCCAGTTGCAGCAGGGCAATCCTGGAGAGCAGAGGGCCTGGCCTTGATGCCTTCAGAGGGGAGAGCTGCGAGCCGGGACCTGCCCGGAGAGGTGGTTTAACCGATGCTAAACCAATGTTGGGTCGGGCAGAACCGGGACCCGGGCCCAGATCTGCGCCCAGGCGAGCAGGAAGGGCCGTGGTCCCCGCGCAGCCCGGCGCCTGGCCCGGCTCCAGCCCGGCATGCCACTGCCGAGCGCTTCGCTCTCTGCCGCATCCCCACGGACCTTGATTGCAAATTCCCGGGTCCTGCGGAGCTGCAGGGCTGAGGACAGATTCCTCGGGTGCTTGTCCGGTTCCCACTTGGGTTCTTTGCACCGGGGGGGTTTCCAGCGCTGGGAAAGCTGCCGGGAGGGAGCCAGCAGCACGAACCCTCACTCTGGGAGGGAGCCCACAGGCCTGTCAGGAATCTCGCCTCACGATGGCTCCAAATCCTGGGGCGGGAGAGGAAAACTCGGCGCTAACAGGCACGGGGGCAGGACAGCGAGGCACGCAGCCAGCTCCTGCGGCTCCACAACCTACTTCGTTACCTCCTGCTCCTTCCCGCCTGCTTCCTGCCTCTCCAGGACCTGGAGGGAAACGTGTCCTGCCGCCGCCTCTGCCAGCGGCTGCCGGTGACCTTGGGCAAGGCTCGGGTGGTGCCTTGGCCTCGCTGGGCCGGTTCCGCGAGCCCTCGGGAGGAAACATCGGCCACGTGGCTTGTGCAGCAGCCGCCTAATCCCCAAATCCCCAGCATCTGCTCAGGAAAAGGAGCTTCCCGAAGGAGGGGTCGCGGCTCTGCTGGGCAGGAGCGGCCACCACTGACACGGAGAGCAGGCGGCAGAGGGCCAGGATGTGCCACCAGGAACTGGACATCCCTAACGCCTGGAGACCAGGATAATGCCTGTGGCTGCTGGAATCTAGGCTGGGAAACCATGGGAAAACACATCGCTCGCCCCCACCATCTCCCTCCGTCTCCAGCCAACCCAGCTCCTCTTTCTGCTAGTGACAAGTGACACTTTCCAGCTCCCTGATCGCACTTCTGCAAGGAAGCCCCTGGATGGGGCAGTTTTGCCCCATTCCGCGCTTTTTTTGGCGCCGGTGTCGGCGGCTGCGGCACCGCCTGCGTCGCCAGCCCCGCCGCCGCCGCCAGCGCCGCTCGCAATCTGCCGGAAAAGCGAGATCCACTGTTGTGACAAGCTCTGCCTCTCCCCACGCCGCGCTTGGGCGGGCGGGAGAGCCGCTGCAGGCGCGCGCTGCTCTCCCTGCCTCGCTTCTCCCCCAGGAATCGGGCTCCTCCGAGGGCAGAGCGACCCGCAGCCACGGCGCAGAGCGGGACGCGGGAGCCCCCGCGCTGACCCGCGCGCGGGCGTCGTGCGAGATTCGGCGCCCAGGGGCTGACGAGCGACGCCGGTTCCCGCCGCGGCTCTGCTCTCACCTCCGCCCCTGCAGCCCTCCCACCGGCGCCGCCTGCTCCGCACGGAGCTTGCGCAGCGCCCGGGCCCGCGCCAGAGCGCAGCGCGCCCAGCTGGTCTCCTGCCGCCCATGGGTGTGAGAGCATCTTGTCAGGCTGGAGGCCTGCACGGATGGAGGCTGCTGGAGGCAGGAAGGGCGCGGAGCTTTGCGGAGCCGCTGCCTCGCTCCTCTGCGTTCCCGTCAGAGCTGTGCTGCCCAGCGGGATGCCCGGAGCTGGCGCTGCTCCGTTGGACACGGTGCAGGAGGCCTGGGCACTCGCACGCCTGGCACACCATAGTCCAGCCCTCCCGAGCATCCACCCAGCACCACAAATGCATCCTGCACCCTGCACACACGTGGCCCAGTCTCCAAGGATCACTGCCTTCCTACACCATCCCGTACACCTCTGCCCCACTGCCCTGCATCTAGCCCACATGGGAACAGAGCTAGCCTCCCTCCAGGCCCCCCACACACGGCAAAGGGGTCTTGGGGACAGCCTGTACATCCCACGTGCCACTTGGGAGTGGGCATTTTGGGGAGGACCGGCATGCAGCGCCTCCATGAAGGAGCAGAACCATCTGGCTGCCTTGGGGGGAGCTCCCTGGGGTGTCTCTCTTGCCCCCCACACTGGGCAACATCCCCAGCACCTCAGGGATCGCTGAGCTCCAAGGCAGCCCCTTCAGGACCTGGGGGCCCGGTGGATAGAGCAGCCCCCGGCCGGTGGCACTGCCAGCCCCACTGGCAGAGCGTCGATGGCATTGTGTGCTCAGTAGCACCGGTGCTTTTCCAGGAATGTCTGCGCTCAGCCCCAGGCCTGCCAGGTCGGGGTGCTCCCCGGAGAGGCACTTAAAGCTTTCCCAGCCTGGTGGCACTGTCCTTCTCGGCTGCCTCCCTCTTTCCGCCTCCTCTGGGGCCAGGATGTGTCTGTCTCCATCTGCGTTCACGGCTCGCCTGCCCCTTCCCCAGCCCCCTTCCCGCGTGTGTATCCGGCACCTCATCACTAGGGTCACCAGGCCAAAGAAAGCGGCACGTTGGCCTCTCCCTGTTGGGTAAAATCCTTGGTCTCTCCATCCCCGGGGTAAAATTTCAGCAAAGTGAAGCGTCCCAGGCCAGGCTGGGCAACCAGACTCAAGGCTGCCATGGACAGAGCAAGGCAGTACAAACCGGGGGCATCATTTAGGCTGAATGACCATCTCAACTGTGATGGCGTGGGGCAGCCAGGGCTGCATATTGGCAAGGACATCCCACCTGCAAAGAGGTGCTTTAGTGCTGTGCCTCTGGTGTGGGGCAGAAGACACCCCTCACCATCCTCTTCAGCCCAGGATCACCCTCCTTCATCTCTGTATGAGATCCCAGCAGAAAAATGGGAAAACAGCCAGGGCTGGAGCCCCTTGGGACGCCTGCTAGGAGCCAAAGGCAGCACCAAGAGCCGGGGAGACCCAAAGCGCCGGTGCCGCATTGCTCCCGGTGCACTGGGAGCATCCCACGTGCCGGCAAGCTCCAAGAGGTCGCAGGGGCGCAGGATGCCCCGGGCGCAGCCCCTGCAGGGGGGCAGGGGCTGCAGCCCTGGGGGCTGGAGGCCGTGCAGGGAGAGCTGTTATTGGTACCTCCCAGCCAATGTCAGCTTGGTTA